CCAAATGAGTAGACGTGCTCTCCACTCTAAGAACTCTAAGAACTGAAAAATGACAAATGTTGGCAAGGATACAGAGAAATTGGAGCCCTCGTGCATTGGCAGTGGGAATGTAAGATGGTAAAACTACTTTAGAAAACAGACTGGCAGTTTCTCAAAAGGTTATACACAGAGTTACTATATGATGCGGCAATTGCACTCTTAGGTATGTTCCAAGAGAAATGAAAATGTACATCCACACAAAAATTCATCCATGAATGATCACAGGTGGAAACAGCCCAAACTAATGCCCATTAACTAATGAATGGATAAACTGTGGCATGTTGAGATAATGGAATGTTATTCATCCAAAAAGGAATGAAGTGCTGATATCTGTGACATATGGATGAATCTTGGAAAGAAACCAGTCACAAAAGACCACATATTATAAGATCCTACTTATGGAAAATATCCAAAAGAGGCAAATCTATAGAGACAGAAAGGAGATCAGTGGTTTCTTAGGACCAAGGGGATTGGGAGGGAATGGGAAATGACCATTAATGGATATGGGTTTCTTTTAGGGGTAATGAAAATATTCTAAAATTGATTGTGGTGATGATAGCACAACAAGAATTATTGGAATTATATACTTCAATAGGGTGAATTTTATGGTATTTGAGTCATATCACATGTTATAATATTTTTATAACATATATGACCTTAATATTTGGAAAATTAATTTACTGTGTTAGATTTTGCTTGAGTTTACCATTTTGCCTCATGCTTATTCTTGGCTATTTGGAGTGGGCTTCCAGCAATCTGTAAACTATCCTGCTGCTCTATGTGAAATAAAGTTATCTAGTAGTCTGAACATTCTTTTTTTTTTTTTGGCCAGGGCTGGGTTTGAACCCACCAATTCCAGTATCTGGGGCCAGCGCCCTACTCCTTGAGCCACAGGTGCCACCCTAGTCTGAACATTCTTAAGAGAAAATATTCCTGCTGCTCTATTCTTGACAGTGGCAGTGCCAGGCACTTCCATGGCCTGTCCTAGCCCACACTTATACTCTATGCCTCATGGGAAGGACTTTGCGGATCTGGAATTTTCCTGGGCCTCTGGAGCACTAACATCTAAAGATAGACTTTCCTTTATAGATAAGCCACTGAGCTGGCTGGGAGCTGCCCCTGTCTTGATGGGCCAGAGCCCTGTCCTAGGGCTTGGGCCTTGTATTCTTACTTCCTCCTTCATCTCAAGTGGAGTCCAAGTGTAAACCAGTTGGTCTGAGGTTTCTCTATTCTATATTTCTAAAGAAATGACTTTGATCCTCTCTCCATCTCTATTTTCTACCTCACCTACCCTGGGATCTTGGTTCCCAGTTGAACTGAACCAGATTCGCTATATCTCAACTATTAGGATACAGCCTCTGCCTTCACCATTCTAACCCCAGTCCCCAGAGCTTCCAGTTTGCTGTTTTTCTACCCCCACGTTCCCTTCACCATAACTATTTTACATTTATCCCACCTCTCCTTTGTAAGGGGTCACAATGCCTCCATAAGTGGGTAAAGTGTAGCAAAATGATGAAATTGGCCTCCCTCCAAAGAGGCCTCCCCTTCCTGATCACTCTGCTAGTTGTCACTGTATGGAAGCGTGGCCTAGTGCTGCCAGTCCTGTCATTACATACAGGGAAAGGGAAATTCAGGTTTTTAAGTAAAATGTCCTAATTTATAATTGGGTCAATTTGTTTAATTTTTTCAAACATTGCAAAGACTAACTGAAACTTATCTGAAGTCCAAACTTAACTCAAGGACCACTGCTGTGATTGATCTGCTTAAGATCTGCCCATCGACCTTTCCTTCTCCCAGCAGTCTGCCCTCTGCCGTGGCGGGTTCACACCTGTAGTCCGACACACGATGTATAAAGGCCAAAAGAAAAGTATTGAGCAAATTTGAAAGAAATATAAACAGAGATCTCAATAACTTTATAAGCACACCATAGATAGTGTTATTTTGGAGTCTCTGGTGGAATCCTGAAAAGCACACATGTGAACAAGTCAGGAGACAGTGTATTCACATCCCATGGGGGGATATTCTCCAATAATGAAAACTGAATTCCAATTGTCTTGTTGGAAATGATACTTTGATACTGGTGAGATGAACTATTAAAGCAGTTACCTAAAGAAGTCCCTATCAATATAAAATACTTTGGCTTAAAAGATTCAGTTTTCAAGGTAATATGATAGAGTTCATTGAGTCAGGCATTCTCTCATTGAGGGTAATTGAATAATATGCGGGGTGGAGGGGCCCAAGCCCTTTCTCTAATCTTTATTTCAGTGCATGATTTTACTTGACTAGTTTAAATACAATCTCTGTTATTTTGCTCTGCTTCTCACTCAAACCGAAACTGATTTCTAACGGCAGACCCAGGATATTCATATAAAATGTGATGTTAGTCCTTATGACTTACAAAGATTCCTGCTAAAGAAGGTAAGTTTTATTTTATCTTCTAAGTACCAGGCAGCATTCAGAGGTGTGATGTGGCCACTAAAACTTTTTCCCCACATAAAAAATCGTCAGATGACTCTGACACCCAGATTTTCATCCTTTGAGTAGTGGTTTACCCCCAATATGTTAATGACGGTTAGAAATGATTAAACTTGAATTTGTAGTCTGCGGAACGAAAAGTAATCCTAGGTAGATATTTACTAGAAAAGGCAATATGTAAAGAATTAAAACTATCTAGAATAAATTATGTTTATTATATATTTTAATACATTTTGTGTATATGTAATATATATATTTATGTATGTACATAGACACACACTTTATTTTTATTGTTAATTATGAGAACATAATAGTTCTATATATTTACAGGGTACACACGATATATTGATACATAGGTACACATCTTGAAAGTGGCAAGAAATTAAAGTAAAATTCCACTGGTTAATGCTTACCCGAACATCACATTTTAGTTATTTTATCGAAACTCTTATAGTCGTTCCCATATTTCACCAAGAATAGGAGGCAGTGCTCAATCAGCATTGATCATGAAATGCCATTTCATGAATTTATTTTTTAAAGAAAAACATGGAGTTAAATGAAGCCTGAGTTGAACAAATAAACACATCCTCAGAAAAAAAAAAGCTTAAATGCACCCAAAAGATCAATCAGAATCTGCTATTTTTAAAAATCTTGAGCAACAGCTATGGACTGGATTCTGTTCTCCACAGATTCACATGTTCAAGACCTACCCCGCCATGTGACTATCTGGAGACAGAGTCTTCATGAGGTAAATGAAGATAAATGAGTCATGAGAGAGTCTCTAATCCAATAGGGCTGTAGCTTGATAAGAAGAGGCAAAGAATACACATCAAAAGAATAAGAAAGGGGGCCAGGCAAGATGGAACCCATCTATAATCTTAGCACTTTAGGAGGCCAGAGGTTCAAGACAAGCCTAAATAAGAGTAAGACCCTATCTCTACAAAAAATTGGAAACATTAGCCAGGCATGGTGGCAGGTATCTGTAGTCCCAGCAACTCGGGAGGCTGAGGCAGGGGAATTGCTTGAGCCCAGGGGTTTGAGGTTGCAGTGATCTGTTTATCCCACTACCCTCATGACCAGGCAACAAAGGGAGACCTTGTCCCCAAAAAGAAAAAACAAAAAGGAACAGGAAGAGAAAGAGGTCTCCCCACTCCTTTCCTCCCATGTGAGGACACAGTGAGAAGATGCTAGTCTGCAAGCCAAGGAGAGCCCTCACCAAAACTCGACCCCTGCCAGAACCTTGATCTTGGGCTTTTCAGTCTCCAAAACCGTGAGAAAATAAATTTCTGCTGTTTCAGCTACCCAGTGTATGATGTACAGTTAAGGCAGCGCCAGCTACAAATGTAGCAACCTAATGAAACCTCTGCAGGCCTCTGTTTGCTTCTCTATAAAATGAGACAGTGAATCAAAACAGGGCTAAGATTTCTTCCAAACTGAACATTCAGTGACTGAATTTCCCATGAAATCCCTAAATTTCATAAAGATTCTGTCTGCATCTCTGTTATGTCATACACTCAAAAAGTCTTATTTTGGAATAAGGAAAAAACATTACCCTGAATAAATAATCCACAGGACAGCTAGCTACCACAGATGAATCAAAACCTAGAAATAGACATCCTTTCCCACTAAAAACATCCACGTACTCAACAGTGTTATAAGGCCAGTGTTGCCCGAATTTTGGCCATTTAAGTTTTATGTTAAATCTGAGTGCCACCTGTATTTTTATTCACTTAAAACTTGTCTTGGCCATTTAAGTTTTATGTTAAATCTGAGTGCCACCTGTATTTTTATTCACTTAAAACTTGTCTTGGCTCGGCGCCTGTGGCTCAAGTGGCTAAGGCGTCAGCCACATACACCTAAGGTGGCAGGTTCAAATCCAGCCCAGGTCCGCCAAAACAACAACGATGGCTGCAACCACAAAATAGCCGGGCGTTGTAGTGGGCACCTCTGGTCCCAGCTACTTGGGAGGTGGAAGGAGGAGACTCGCTTGAGCCCAGGAATTGGAGGTTGCTGTGAGCTATGAGGCCATGGGCACTCTACCCAGGGGGACAGCTTGAGGCTCTGTCTCAAAAAAAAAAAAACAAAACAAAACTTGTCTTTAAAAGGCATTTAAATTGGGTGGTGCCTGTGGCTCAAAGGAGTAGGGCTCTGGCCCCATAGGCCGGAGGTGGTGGTTCAAACTCAGCCCCGGCCAAATACTACAAAAAAAACAAAAAAGGAATTTAAATTGGCTTACTTTTTTATCATTAACCACACCCTAAGCAATCATAAGCTTAATGATGCTAGTTTTATGCACTTTTGTAATAATTATTATGAGACAGGCACAGTCTACTAAATTAAATTAAATTCCACCAAATACCATCTAAAATTGTGTGATATATCCACAGTGCTATGTATAACTAAACTTTGGAAAATACCAGAGTATCTTATGAAAATAAGGATGTAAGTATTGGTCTAGAAGATAAGATTTTGTGCTTATTGGAATCTACTATAGTAACATTTACATTGCATTTATTAAGATAGAAAATCACTAACTGTTGCTTCTATTCTTCTTTCATTAGTCGGAGAATCTGATTTCATACATTATTTTTAAAAGGGTACAATAGGACCACCAGTCAAGGGGTAAAATTTTTGTTTTACATCTGAATTAGCATAAATTCCACTCTCATCATGCCAAGTGTTGATGCCAAATCTTTTGGAACCATCGAGATCTGTGAACTGAGAACGGCATTTTCTGTGGACTATGGAATATACATGTTGACAGGGATAACCCTATGGGAAGGAAGAAAGAAATAACATTGAATTACTGAAATACATATAGGGAAAGTGATCCCCCAAAGTTGATTTTTATGATTATTCTTATGATCAAAGATTAATTTTTAACAATTGATTAATGTGGTCTCTCAAATAACAAACACTTCGATGGAATGAAAGGGCTATTGCATTTATAAGTATTTCAAATACTGAAAGAAGAATCTAGTAAATGGTTGTTTTATTTATAAAACTAAAAGTTAAGTTATTATACATGTAGAAACCACAAATAGCATAAAGAACAATTTAAATTTTATGATCATCTATATATAAGACCAAAACAATTACAACTTAACTATAATTCAACGCCTTTCTTAAAATATAAGTTATTACCAAAGAATAATCTTGGGGAGTATATTCAATAATTGCTATGAAGTCATGCTTCCCATGACAACAGGAAATGTCAAGCTTTAATATTTGTTCTCATAAGATATTTACCTCAATATAACCCAGTATAGTCTTTAAGATGTTTACCCTTAGGCCACTTCATAAAAACTACATTGTAATGACCATTTCCCAAAGGAAATATTGATTCAGATTATACCATGGGTGATCGTAGACATTGAAAGTAAAGCCTTTTAAGTGATGGTCTAATTCCTGCTTTAAATTGGTTCTAATTTTAAAGCATGAAGACAATATTGAAATTAAATCACCAAAGCTATAAAACAATGAGAGAACACCAAAGTAGTTCTGATCTTAGATTGGTTTGTTGAAAATAATTGAAATCTTAACCATCTGTTCAACCATAATAGTGTCCATTTATTTATTGACTGCCTATAATGAGTTGGACACAGTACTTGAGTGTTTATACCTTTTAATCCATAAAAAGGGATCTGAGATGGGAATTATTACTCCCTCTTTACGTATAAGAAAAGATGATTTGCTTAAAAATCCCAGAAGAGAATTTAAAGAAAGGTAATAATGAGGGAGTGACTAAGCCAGGAATATAAACTAGGTCTGTCTGCCTGATTGTAAAGCCTTTTGTCTCTCCAAGAGTTTCACAAAGCTTTTAATAGTCAAGAGATGAAAAGAAATGTAAACTATAAAATCATAAAGCTACATAATATCTTTGTTACTATTCTATGTAGTTTGGGCTTTAGCTTTTGTCTTTGGTGGCTATTTCTTTGGGCTTTGGGGGGTAATTGGCTGGGTGGCTATATCACTAGTGCAAGCTGTCATCTCAGAGGAAGGCAGGATCTTCTCCTTCCTACCCTGCTGCAGTCAAACTGAGTAGAGCTTCTAATGCAAATTCTACATATTTCATAGGCAGAAAGGAGGATTTATCTTTTTGGGGTGAGTGACAAGATGATAAGTCTTATTCTAGGAAAATGATTCTGGAAGCAGAAGTACAACAAACTAGAGGTGGGAGGAGTGGATTCCAGAACCGTAATGAGAGTAGGATCTCTATTAAGTCATAGGCCATCCATTGGGTGGATAAATAAATGTGTCTACACATCTAATGAAATATTTGGCAACAAAAGAAACAAAATATGATATACGCTACAATATGGATGAAACTTGGAAGCCTTATTCTAAGTGAAAGCAGCTAAACAGAAAGACCATGAATTATATGACTTCTTATATGAAATGTCTATGATAGGCAAATCCACAGAGACAGAAAAGTGGATTAATGGTTTCCAGTGAACAGGAAGATGAAGAGTGCCTGTTAATGGGTATGGGATTTCTTTGGGGGGTGATGAAAATGTTCTGAATTGTGGTGATGATTGCACAACCCTGTGGAGATACTAAAAATCACTGAATCGGACACTTGTAAGGGGTGAATTCTATGATATGTGAAATTGTATCTCAGCAAAGTTGTTATTTTAAAAAGAGGGACTGCATTGGGGGAGCAATTCTGAAGTTAGAAAAACAAGTTAAGAGACTGCTGCCTGTTAACACATGTTACACCGGGTGACTCTCCATTATCAGCTCTGCAAAGAAAAAAAAATTTGTAACACCTGCCAATTTCTGTGGTGTAAATACTCCTACTGTGGCTGATGTCAGTGGACACTGAGGAATACATGAGTATAATCAGTTCATGCACACAGTGAAGAGCTGGCTCCAGCTCACTCCTGAATCCACTTCTTTCATTTCCCAATATGTAGCAACCACACAGTTTGAGTAGCATTGACTACAGTCCCAGGTCCAGGGCAGTATCTAATTGGCCTGAGACAATCAGGATCGTCTCACCCAACTCTAAATGATAGTGACAAGTTCAGGGGTAGGCATGTGACTGGAATTTTTCCAAACAAGATTAAAGCCCAAGCTATTTTATTCAATGATTTGGGTGAAAAAAAAGCTCTTTTTCCACTATTAGACATAAATGAAGAAGCATCCAGTCCAGGTTGCTTTTGGTGACCCTCTTACAAGCAGTCTAGCAGGAGACCAACATCACCATAAAAGGCAGAGTTGAAAGCCAGCAAGAAACATGGTGGCGCTGCTCTATCAATCTCTTCCTGAAATGTGACTTTTCAAAAAATATGAGCCGATACATTGCTTTTATTGTCTGATCCAGTTTGAGTTGGGTTTTGTGCATCTCACTAAAAGCATCTTAACTAATGTAGACTTGAATAATCTGCAATATTGGAACAATGAGGTACTTGGAATCAGAGCAAGGAAATGGGTCATAACCAAGGGAACAGGCATATCAAATAGGAGGAGTGGTGGCAAACAGTAAATTTGCGACTAAATGTACAACCAGGAATCAGGAGGATACAAATATGAAATAGGTGAACAAAGTAGGCATTCAAAAATTAGGATAAATTACTAGAAACCCAGAGGATATAATTATTATCAGAAAGCAGAAGAAGTATGCCTTCCAAAGTTTAATCCAAAAGGCATGAAACAGTAGAAAAAAGCCGGTGTGCCAAGAATAATCTTCAGGGACCTTAATATTGACTGCAGTTCATCCACAAGGTGATGGGCATTTTGACAGGCAAACAGTCTGGTAACTACTCAAACCAATAAAGAAGGAAATAATGGAAAAATTATTAGTATGTTTTCCCTTTTTGGTGTATGTAACCACCTATTGCCCTTTGTTTCAGAAAACTGCCAACGAACCACAGAGCAAAGTAAGATCAACTTATACAAAATAGTTTCTGAGCAAGACAATAGCCTTGTGGTCCAACTCATAGTTTGAGGATTTTAGAACATCAGTAATCCAGTCTGGGAGTCTCAGATGATAGAGTTCTCCAGATTCGTAGAGGAATACCTTTTGCCATGAAGACAAAAGGAGACTTGAAATGAAGAGAGGGAAGAGAAGGAGGGGTCTATGTGAGGAGGCAAAAATGAGGGGGAAGGTAAGCAGAAAGACATATTGCCCTATTTTCCCATCCCTGGGCTTGAATCAGGCAGAGTCCCTTTGAACTGGACAGAGGGAAATGCATTAGATAAATGATAATGGTGGCAAAAAGGCACAGGGGGTTCTCAGTCCCTGTTTATGAGAGAACTCTTGAACTAGATCACATCATTAGCTGCCCTCTCCTTTCCCAGCATGGGAAGGTAGGAGAGCCTCTAAGATTCATCTATCCTGAGCCACTTTTGGTATATCCTATGGCATAAAAAAAAATCCTGAAATAGCTGGATATCTGCAGAAGGGGATGCAAACAGTGGCTGCAGTGCTGGACATTGGAGCTGGAACTGAGTAAGAGTCACAGAAGGCTCCAGTGGAGTCTGCAGTGAATCTTCTTCCACTTCCACTGGAGAGGAAATGAGGCCAAGTCATCCCAGACGTGCCTTCTGGGCTCCGATCAAACCCAGAGACAAAGAGACAAAGACTGGTAATTACAGTGTCCACATTGTTTAGTCACTGATGCCAGCAAGAAAAAGAGCAACCATATGGACTAAAGATATCTCACCCCAGAGACCAGGACAGGCACAGAACACCGCATGGAAAACCCTGCTCTCCCCTCTGTCATCAGGATGCCAAGTCACATCTTTCCATCCATCTGTTGCCATCTTAGAAAAGATGCCATTACTACTCCTGCTAACCACCACCCTGCACCCACACAGGTGTGTACAAAAATAGGCCTTTATTCTGCCTCCAGATTCTGTGGGTCAGGAATTTGGACAGGCTACAGCAAAGGCAGCATCTCTCTGCTCCACGATGTCTGGGGCCTCAGCTAGGAGGACTTGAAAGTCGGGGGTGAGTTGAGGGGTAGGGGCTAGGACCACTTCTCATTCTGATTAGTAGTTAATGCTGACTGTTGCTGAACCTCAGCTGCAGCCACTGGCTGGAATAACTACATGGGCTTACCCAGATTCTCTAGGTGGAACCTAGACCCCTCCTCTCAGTGGGAAATCTGTTCAAAGTCTCACTGAGAGAGCACATGGGAGAGAGCACAAGTTGCAGCCATTTTTAGAAAATGTAATTTTTCTCCTGGTATTAGGGAGAAGAGCAGGGTGTACTGGGGTCCCCAAGACCATCCCCAGGTTTGATTTTTTTTATACACACACACAGAGAAATAGATGTTCCTCAGCTTACAGTGCATTTATGTCCCAGTCAATCCATCCAAGTGGAAAGTATCGTTTTTTTTTTTTTTTTTTTTGGTGCAGTTTTTGGCCAGGGCTGGGTTTGAACCTGCCACCTCTGGCATATGGGGCTGATGCCCTACTCCTTTGAGCCACAGGCAATGCCCAAGTGGAAAGTATCTTAAGTTGCAATGCACTTCATACCCTGATAAATCCAACATAATGTCAAAAACGGTAAGTTGAACCATTGTAAGTTGGGGACTGTCTGTACAGTGTATGCATGGCTGTGATTAAGCACAGGAAAGGAGTATGGACTAAGAGCCAAAGAAGCCAGAGCAAACTTCCCAGAGACCGACTGCTCCCAGTGGAGTCACACAGGGTGAGTGTAATTCCCCCAACAGTGAGTTGTGAAGTGCTGTCTGCTGGGGAGCTCATTAGAGACTTCGTGCCCAGGGCTTTTACTGGGGGCTGGTCATATAGGCACCCTCTGC